TTCACATTTAAATAAAACACTTTAACGGTTTAAAACGCGATATATTAGTTAAACTTATTTGATAATGATTTTTAGCTTCGGACGTTTCTGATGCTTTGCAGCAGCCGTAGTCATGGGAAGACGTCGGGCCAAAATTAAAAATCATTTTCAAATAAGTTTAACTTATATATCGCGTTTTAAATCGTTAAAGTGTTTTATTCAAATGTGTACTACTCGCGTAAACTATAGACAGTATTTACTTATTCACTTGTTCTTATTTTTAGACCATTTGAATTCGAAAAACGTAACAATATATACCCGAGGTTAAAAGCGAAAAATCATTGAAATCAGGTCTGTTCTAAAGTAAAAAAATCTCTTTGACTTGGCAAACAATGGAGGAGAGAAAAGCACAAAGCTCTTGGACTTGGCAGTGCATGTTGGCCTTAATTATTGTAATACAGCTATTAACTTTGCAATCTATGGAGGCGCGAGGGACGACGAAATATTATGTACGACTAATCCCGTGAGTCTTGTTCTTTCGTTTCGTAAATTATAAACTTACAGAGATACTATTTAAAGGATAATGTATAACGAATTAGTATAATTCCCACATAATAAACACTAGCTACGGCCGCGACTTCGTCCGTGTAGTATTGTTATTTTTGCCATCACAATTTGTTTTTGAAAATCTTCTCGTTTTTATCAACTACAGCTGTTACCCACGACGCGTCCCGTAGTTCTTAATTTTAAAAGTTAATCTTAAAAGATAGACAAATACCAACCCGAACATTTCTTTAGATCGTTTAAAGAAGATTCATTTTTATACATATTTTTGGGGTACCTTAAACCATTCTTGCAGCGCGCGCAACGGAAACCCACAAGGATGAATAAAATCCACCGTTTTTTCCACATTTACCACTGTCTTTTATAAAAAAAAAACCATCTACTATAAATGATCTAACCAACACAAATAGAATTCAATTCTATCCAGTAGTTCCTGCGATTCGTATAGATCTCGTTTACCTCACAAAACATATTGAGGTAGTCACGTTGGAGAAAATTTTCAGTTACAGGCGTTACATGTGGTCCCTTTAGCTACCCATTTTTGTTTCCTGTACCAGTCCCCGGAGTGAGGTTAAAAATTTAATGCGGAAAGGAGCGTAGGTAGCAAATCGTACTTTCATTTTCCTTGAAACGTTTACGGCTAGGGCGCGCAATAAAAAGTCTTTCTATTCTATTCATGGTGAGGCATATAACGCACAATTTATTTATACGAATGGAATTGTTATTCAATACTGATTGTTTCTCACTTCGGCATACAAATTACAAACTACTTCTTATTAACTTTAGACATTTGCAAACAGAAATCGGAAATAAATTGAAAAAACTTTTAAATAAAACACTTTAACGGTTTAAAACGCGATATATTAGTTAAACTTATTTAAAAATCATTTTTAACTTCGGCCCGATGTTTCGGATGCTTTGCAGCAGCCGTGGTCACGGGAAACTGTCGGGCCGAAGTTAAAAATCATTTTCAAATAAGTTTAACTAATATATCGCGTTTTATACCGTTAAAGTGTTTTATTTAAATGTATACTACTCGCGTAAACTATAGACAGTATTTGAAAAAGCTTGACTCGAAACCGGCATCGTATGCGTTCCATGCTGTTGCTCTACCAATTGAGCTAAGTCCTATACCTCTTCGCCGAATTAAAAAAAAGATCGAAAAAGATTTTTTAATTATATAGTGATATAGATATTGTACATGGTGGATGTGCAATATCATGTGAAAGATATTGAAGTTTTCAAACATTTGCCGAAAAAGTTTTTTTTATAATAGAGAAGGACAGAGATGGCGTGGAGTTCATTTGATAGTAGATGATATACCCCAGCTGATAGCATCTAAAGAAGATGGGCTGCTAAAGAAGATGACCTATTTTGCCTTTGGATATTCGGAAATCCACAGACTGAAATGGAAACGCGATTAAGCTTCACGGCTTTTTCATTTGTGGACGGTGGTTTGTGACTTGGACGGAATTTCTATATTCCTATCACCCATTTAACATCCAGGTTTCCAGACGAAGGCCAGCATGTTTCAGAAAAAATATAAATTGAAAAATTAGTAACATTGCACCCGGTGGGAAACGAACCCACGACCCGTTGATGAAACATCGTTTATGTAATACTTACTATTTTTTAATCCTTAATTCCAAACCCAGCGAACTACTACTAAATAAAATTGTGTTCCTAAACCAGTACACATATATATTGTCTGTAGTTTACGCAAGTAATACAAATTTAAACAAAACACTGATCGGCTTAAAAAGAAAAATATATTAGTTAACAACAGCCGTGACCACACGGCTGTTGCAAAGCTTCCTGAACGTCGGGCCGTTGTTAAAATAAACTAAGCTAATAAATATACCGAAATAGTTGTATGTGTTTTATTTAAACACATGTTTGTATATGGCAATTTTAGAAGCAGAATATATATTTTTTAAATCAAATTGCATTATAGAAACGAACTAGAAGTTTGTTTATTATATGTTAATAGAAATTACAGCTATAGGTAGCATTTTTATGAATAATGCTGTAAATGAAGCAGTTAAATTACTCAGACATGAGACATTTATCTGCTTCAAATTAGAAAAAAAATATTAAAAGCAAAATTAATTGCAATTTTGATGTTAAGCATCCGAAACTTGGTGGCTGGTGCTATAGAAAGAAAAAAATAAAAAATATTAAGTTGTTTGCTTGGTATATATATTGTTATGTACAGCACAAGTCCGAACAAGTAAATATTAGTGTTACATAAATCTATTTATTAAATTAAAAACGAATAAACTTAAATAAATGCACGTCAGAGCGTACCAACGAAGGTAAGAGGTTTTTGCAATGAAAATTCACGAAAGGTTTCGCCATTTGAACAATTCTTGGGGAACATTTGAATGGCTGTTATATTTATGTCTCGTATCTCGGTTTAATTAAAGTCAATGTTCTGAGATCCTTTTTGTTGTCTTTCAATTTATTTTATTAGTTTCTTTTACATTTGCAATGTTTCGGTTAAAACACTTTTAGTGGCGCGATATAATAATTATACTTAACAAAATATGGGCCTGAGAAAAATAATACAATAGTTTGAATATTTAAATAAAACACTTTAACGATTTGAAACGCGATATATATTAGTTAAACTTATTTGAAAATTATTTTTAACTTCGAGCTCGCTGCTGCAAAGCATCAAGAAGCAAGTTTTAATATTGTTTTTTTTTAACTTTTTAATCATCAGAAAAACTGGGCGTGGCCCAGACTAAGTTTCGATATTTCTACTGTACATTTATTATCAATATTTTCGAGATGAATTCGAAAAATATTTAACATTTTAGGAACATGTTGGTTAAGGTAGGAAGCTAACTCAAAACCAACGCCTTGCATTGCTACTTTTCGATTAAGGAGCCTGTTAGGTACTTAATAATAAAGCTGTAAATGTGAATTTTAAATTGTAAAATGAGAATTTGTTATCCTTTCAGCGAAGCAACAGTTAATTAGATATTTGAACAAACCCTCGATTTATATTAATTGTGTTTAATGATATCGTATAACGCTATACATTACGCGAAAAAAAAAACCCTTTTCAAAAAAAGGGGGCAGAAGAAAAAAACATTTATATATTACTTACTTAAATATTTTTTTAAACCATTAAATAAAAAACAATTTAAGTGTTTAGCGTTATACTATTTATATACTGTTTAAAATGTAGTTAGTACTTCGCATTAAGTTTAACAAAACAAATCGCATAAGCTACAAACAATACTTAAGTGTATTAGGTAAAATACTTACGTTAAGTGCGATTATGAAGAAGTCCAGTGTAAACAGGAACGATGTTATCGGGTTAAAGTTAAACTGAAACAAAATATATATTTTTAATACATATTTCAGTATCAAAAAAAAGGAAATTTTTACCTTTGGCCCCCCGGCGGGCCGGAATTAAAAATCATTTTCAAATAAGTTTAACTAATATTCACGTTTTAAACCGTTAAAGTGTTTTATTTAAATGTGTACCTCGCGTCTGACAATACGGTAATCTTTCAAAGCATATGGAAGAGCTATAGTTTTTTATATAAAAACACATTGCACATATTTGTACACATTTTAAATGTTAATTTGTTTTATGTAGATTTGGCATTCATTTCATTTTAAGACACACAAAGGATAATATTAAGCGATAATTAAAGATTTTCGTTCTTATTTAAGCTTACTTCTTTGTTTTCGTAGACGGTTTTAATTAAGATAGGTGAGTGCATAGCATTGTTGAGATGTATGGATTATTCCGTGACTCTTCAGGTGTTTAAATGTAAGATTCAAATTTCATTCAATTTTTACTTAAGGTTGGATATTTGAAAAAAGGAATTCGATTTTTTTTTTATCGACTAAAGCTTTTACTATTTTCAAGATTTTTACGTGTTATGCCTGGGTATCATCTACTAGCTGTGCCAGCGACTTCGTCCGCGCAGAATAGTTATTTTGGACATCCAAATTTGTTTTTACAAGCCTCCTCTTCACCTTTTAAGGTGTTACCCACGACGTCAGTCACGTCCCGTCTTTCTTGCAAGTTAATCTTAAAAATTAAAAATATAGTATTGCGGACATTTCTTTCGATCATTTAAAGTGGATCATTATTTTCTACAAATTTCTTGGGCGTCTTGAATCGCTTTGCAGCTCACGCATTGGAGACCATCAGAGATGAATAATTTCCCCCGTCAATTTCCACATTTTCCGCTGTTCCATCGCTCCTATAAGTCACAGCGCGATGTTGTATAGCCTATAGCCTTCCTCGATAAATGCTCTAAGCAACACAATAAAAAATTCAATTCTCACCAGTAGTTCTTGAGAGTAGCGCGTTTAAACCAACAAACAAACTCTTCAGCTTTATATATTAGTAATAGATTAGATTAAAATATAAAGTCTAAAATATGATTTCCTTATGACAACAAAAAGAGGGCAAAAATATAATTGAATGATCAAACTGAATAGGTACTTACTTCTTCAATACTTACAGTTTGCAAGTAAAAAAGGTAGCACACGTTTATCAGTTCGACGAGAGTTTCCAGGCCCATAGACACGATCCAAGGTAGGAGCATGAACTTTATGTCCTGGAAGAAGCATTAATATTAAAATCATGTACAACTAATTCTTTAGGTGCAAGTATTAATAAAATAACAAAACAAAAAATAAATAAGCTTCTGTAAATCTTAACTAGGCAAAAAAGTTAATATCATAAAGAGGAATCGCTGTTGTACACCAAAATAAGTGTCAACGTAAAAAACTTTTAAAGTTAAACGGTTTAATTTATTGTGGACTACAAAAAAAGTTGACAAACATGGTTTTACTAGTGTAGCCCTTTCATTTGATACCCATCTTGAGGGGGTTGGGGAAAAATATGTAATCCGCCATTTTGTATCGGCGGCCATCTTGGATTTATAATATTATTAGTTTTATTATATTATATTGTCATCTAAATTAAATGTGTGTACCAAATTTCAGATGAATCAAAGGGAAGGTGCTTAAATTTCAATTTCTAATATTAAACCAAATAAATAAATTCCGTACGGGTCGATCTAAATAAAACCGTTTAAAAATCGTTCTACTAATCATTTGACAATCTCGACAAGCAAAAGCTTCTACAAGAGTCAATTATTCATAATTAGTAATAATAATACTTTAGTGACAAAAAATGGTTACGATAAAAGGTGTACTTAAAATTAGTTAAAAACAGATGGATTTGATTCCGGTATCTGTATTAAAAATATTTTCCCGAGAATCGAACAGCAAATACAGTCTTTGACAGTTTTTTGGTGATAGAGGAAGACAAACATGGGTTCCACTTATCTATTTAGATAGAAAAAATATAAAAAAAACGAAAAAGAAGAAAAAAGGACTGAAGGGTTGAACCGCCAGGTTTGGGAGCAATAATAAGTTAAGTCTTTAAATAAAACACTTTAACGGTTTAAAACGCGATATATAGTTAAACTTATTTGAAAATGATTTTAACTTGGGATTTCGGATGCTTTGCAGCAGCCGTGGTCACGGGGAGACAAAAAAAAATCATTTTCAAATAAGTTTAACTCATATATCGCGTTTTAAACCGTTAAAGTGTTTTATTTAAATGTGTACTATTCGCGTAAACTATAGACAGTATTTACACGTCTTTGTCAAATTTTTTCAACCTATTAATACATACGGAACCCTGTGCAAACCGGTGATTAAGCAATAACATGGAAAAATAATAGTGATTACATACATTATAAGATTACATACCTTATACACTCCAACAATGAGTATAACACAAGATATGAGACCCAGACTGCTACAGGCTAGTAGTGTTATGTTTAAGGAGACAGTTACTGAAACAAAAAATAAACATTGAAATATCCTTCTTTTATTTTTCCCTAAAGATAGATTGGTTAATTAACCCGAGATCACTAAGTTATAATATTATTTAGTGTTGATAATATTTTCCCTTAACTAAATGGTCCAATTAAACACGTACCATATGGAAAAGAGAATTAAATATGTGAAATTTAAATAAAACACTTTTAACGGTTTCAAAATTTGATATTTATTAGTTAAACTTGGTAATGTTTGCAGCAATGGTGGTCACGGGAGAACTGCACGTCGCGGGTGTACTTAACGGCAAGGTAGATCGTCTATGCAACCGCCATCTGTTACCTCGTAGTTGGTATTTGGTGCTCTTCTTTCTCAATATGCCGTTTATTATAATGTTGTGTTTCTTAGTTATTTAATATGAGAAATATTACATCACTAAAGTTGACCAAACGAGACATAATTTATTGTATTTGTTGGAGTTTATATATATTGATATTAGCCTTCAACACTTGAATTAGGTTTTAAAATGTTTATTTGAAATCCCAGGATATTATTTTATGACTGAAAACATTGACTTCTCTTTTCGACACACCGGACGAAATTAAAAATAAAAATTCTGTACATTTATTATACAAAATTATGTTAACAGTAAAACAGTTCAAATATATATGTGAAAGTTTGAAGTTGGTGTTTTTATAATAATATATTTATTTATAATATATATATATATATATCCCTCCTCCGCCTCCCCCGAGCCGAAGCTTCGACGATAATAATTCTCCAAGAGTATTGCTGAAAAAAAAATCCTACGCTAGTACACCTCAAATCTGGTATAACAACCAGAACATTTTGTAACGCGTTAAATAAGACATATTAAAAAAAATTAAATATGTATATATGAGTACGTATTTTGTACCTGAAAAACGTCAAGGATTTCAAAAATTATCAAATCCGAGACATTTTGCTTACTGCTTCACAGACGCCAATAAACACGGTTAAAGTTCACAATAATATGCATGAGGAAAATAAACTTTTTATATAAGGCCGTGTTATTTTCATATTTTCTCCATGGATAGCGTCGGTTTCCAGGTCACTGACACCCATCACACTCATTGACTGTGTTCCCTATTCGGACTTCGTTCAACTTATACGTTATCAAGACAATATCGATAAGAAATAGAATTTCGTTACTTCTCTCTTAACCTTAAAAAGAATAGTATTATTCTCCATTTCGATAGCAAACCGGGTGATCAGTCCACATTGTCTGACCATTATGCATATCCCCATTCCCCCCCTTTGCAGTGGACATTAGGTTATCCTATTTCCACTGTGTCACCTTCCAATATGCCGGTTTCTTAGCAGAATCTCAATAATTGTTCCATCAGTCTCTGTTATATTGTCAATTCAATTGTGTACCTTAATTTTGAGCACACCTGTTTCCTTGGCTTTCTACCATCACTGTCATTGGTCACGGGGTCTTGATCCGATCTGAGCTAGTTCCAGGACTTAGGTGAACTACTAATTGACATATTGATTTTATTTTAAAACATGTTAATGTGTTAAGTTCTTCAAGTGTACAATTAACAATTAATATTTTGAGGTACAGTTCTTTTCGGATTTACATTAATAAAATATCTACTTTGTACTTGTGTCTATTGTTATCGAAATTACATTTAAGTTTCTTGATTTGACCGTGACTGTGTGACCCCCTCCTGGCGCCAAAGCTGGATCCGCCCTTGTGTAAGTCGGTTTAGAGAACATATACTTTTCGGTAAATCCATTTTGTCTCTAGAGTAAAGAGATTGTAAAATTATCAGTAACTCTCCGAGCCCATTTGTAACAGACACTATCTTAATGGATTCCGATTACCGCGAAAGATGTGCGCTTAAAACTTTTAACTGGTTTAATGTTATTTCTGAAAGTTCGTTTACTTTTCAGGTCCTCGCTTCAGGCATTTGAAGTCTTTAATGTATCTTTGAAGTCTGCTTGAGTCGTACTTATATGAAACTATTCAGAAATTGCATTAAACTTTCATAAATGATTAAATAACTGGTTGACTAGTTTGAGTGGTAAACCGTACATACATTTTAAGTTCTTTAAGAAAATTAATTAAAGTACAAGGTTAGTGAAAGCGTTTCGAGTGAATAAATAATAACACCGCAAGACATTATTGACAAACCACATTTTCCGCTTTAAATCTTAAAGCTAATTTATAAACTTGGTTGGTTTAATTTACTCAGAGGCGCTCACTAAAATTCGGGAATCAAAGTCAGTTCAAAGAATCCGAATTTCCTCGAGATTAATTAATAAGGAACAAAGAATGGATTTATCTCTTTGTAGATACTCATATCGCGTAAGCAATTACAAAAGTTTATTTTTAATTCGATAAACAAAGCAATAGCCAAAGTTTGTCCTTCTCGAAACCCGAGTCTGGCTAATACAGAATGTGTGACGGAATTGGAAGAAATATTTATAATGTACTACTTTGTTCCTATCATTAACCTCTGTAGACAAATTGTTAAACATGTTCCGTTGCATTGCGTTAACCGCAGTCCTCGATTCGAATCCCAAGACATAACGAAAAATATCAATAGAAGACAATTATCTAGTAAACATTCATATCGGAAAGTTATTGGCAATATAACTTAGATTGGATAGCTATAAGTCGTTTCGCCTGTCGTCCTTTATCTTTGCACAAGTTACATATATATACATTGGTATATACGTCTCTAAATTATTACACTTTGACGGTTTTAAACGTGAAATATATTAAATTATTTGATAATTATTTTAACTAACGCCTAACGTTTTAGATGCTTTGCATTATTTACCGGTTTGCGGGTATGTTTCGAGTTTTAAACAGATAAAGTGCTTTATTTAAATGTGTACTACTCGCTTAAACTACAGACTGTATTTAATATATGCTCTGTTTATTCTATACGTAATCGTGCAGTGCTTACATTAAAACGGAAAGTTTTACCTATATTCATACAGAATATTACATTAACTTTATTCATACTAACACACAAAACATGTGTCCAGTTATTCTGGTATGAATCACAATAGCTTATAAGCTTTAAAATCTTAACTGTACAAAACTTAAATATTGCATGTAGTTTACACATTTAAATAAAACATTAACAGATTAAAACGTCTCCCCGTGACCACGGCTGCAAAGCATCCGAAACGTCAACAAAAAAAATAAGTTCAACTATTTCGCGTTTTAAATCGTTAAAGTGTTTTATTTGAATGTACTTTTAAGAAACTAGTCACTCACGACACATGCTTACCCTTATGTGGGAATAAGAAAGACATTAGAATTTAAGTACAACAATACATTAGTGACGAGTGATTGATTGAGTCAAATTTATTTGACCCAATCCACTCGCTATAGAATCTCTTAAGTACGATAAAATGTGTTTAACAAAAACATACCCTATTAATAATACCGTAATGCTTTTGTGGTGTTATTTGGCTCTTTCGCATAAAATGGAGGCTTTTATTAATCAGTCTTCAATTCAATATCAGTTGAAAAATCGTCAAGTGTTTGTTAATTTTATTTCACTTTGTTTGATTCGATTACCCAACGTATTAGTACATAAACATCGAGTTGTGTCAGCGACTTCGTCTGCGTAGAATAGTTACTTTGGGCATGTAGCAGTAGATGTCCTGTTAAACCCTATAAATGTAGGCTGTTACCCGCGACGTCTTCCGCGTACCATCGTTCTTGCAAGTTAATCTTAAAAATGTTGCGTACATTTTTTGACATCATTTAAAGAGGAATTACTCTTAAATACATATTTTTTGGGTATGTTATAACGGTTTGCAGCGTACGCTTCGGAAACCCACAAGGATGAATTATTTCCCCGGCTTTCTCCATATTTCCCGCTGTTTCTTTGCTCCTATTAGTCACATCGCACGTTTTATAGTCTACAACCTTCTTCGATAAATGGTCTAACCAACACAAAGAGAATTTTTCAATTCGAACCACTAGTTTCTGAGATTAGCGCGTTCTAACAAACAAACTCTTCAGCTTTATATATTAGTATAGATGTCGCCAGTCTTTTCGTAGCTCATGTTTTAATGAATTGAAAATAAAGCCCCAAACCTCAAGGTCGTCGAGCAAATACGTCTGAGTGATTTACCACGTACAATCGAAAAACAACCCTCTTTTTAGCGAAGTCAAACTCAAGGGTGATCCTAAAAATACAAAGAGATAACTTACTAGGCGTAATTTTGTCCGGTTCGAGGAAACTCTCTGACTCGGGTTCCGTCATTTGGCCGGATAGGTAGCGATGTTCGACGTCGATAAAATGCCCCATCGTTACTATGGTAACCGCGAAGTATACCTGCATAATATTATCGGGATTAGAGCTCCTTTCACACGAATAACCATGATTGCTCTGGGGCACAATATTGAGATGGAAGCGCAAATACAAATTGGTTTGAGAACACATTTTACATTCTATTAATTAGATTTCAAAGTTAGAATTGAGATTGGTATGATAGATTTTATATTACATAGAACTATTAATTACTTTTTGATATAATTTAACTAATCATAGTTAAAAATAAAATATAACTATAATGTACTTTATCTTATACATTTATGAACACTACTTATATAAATATAACAGAAATAATAATAAAACACTATTTAGTACTAAAACTTGTAAATATTATAGTTGCTAAATTAGAAATAATTTAATACTAGAAAATAAGCGATACCAAAAAGGTCTTGCAACAGCATAAGCACAATATCGTTACAACACTGAATTTCAGCAAAATTATTGCTGTTTGTCTCTAGACAGCGTACATATTTAATTTTTTAAGTTTTGTTTCCCCCGATTGGAGCTGACACATTTCTAAGTCCGTCTCCTTACCCAGTTAAAGCAACTTAATCTTATTAAACCAAGGAACTGTTGTAATCTACGCAAATTCTAGACACTAGTCTTTTATCACCTATGTTGTTAGATACAACCAAACATACAGGAGCAATACACCTCTATATCTCAAGGCATTTAACTGAATTGTTAAAAGTAGGCTGTAAAAATATATTTACAAATACAAACAATAATAATGAGTTTATTTATTTTCTTTCAGAGATAAAGAGTTAATGATTGATTTACAGTATTTCGTTGTTATACACCTCACTTAACACAGGTGATTCAAGCAAATCTTGATTTCTCTAGATTTACTTACGATCCATAAATTTTACGAGTATTCTATCATAAATTGTACGCCCCTGAGACGCATCTAGCATTATTTACGGCTAATTTCGAGTAAATTATTGCCACGAGGTTGCTTACCTGCTATTAAGCGAACGGTAAGCTCTTATTGTAATTCGTAGAACTTTTTATCAGTAACGTTATGTAACTGTAGGTACGCGAGTACTACATTAACAAAAAACACTTCAAAGTGTTTAAAACGCGAATTATATCTAATGCTGAAGCTGAAGAATTTGTTTGTTTGTTAGAACGCGCTTATCTCAGAAACTGTCATAATGTATTAGTAGGTTGAATCTTCAGTAGTTCAGTAGTGTGTTGGAAGCAAGGCACGGCTAGTAATCAACGGGAACATCCAAAGCCAAAACAGGACGAAGTGCATCTGTTTAGACGTTAAATCGTTTAGATATTTCAGCTACCATCAAGGTAACATGCTCGTCTATCCTCCTCTTAGTATCATACAAAACGTCAAGAACCGGAGGAGGTTTAGGTCTAAGTTGAGGTCTATATGATTTAACTAGAACTAAGGTCACCTCATCCATTATGAAACATTTTGTCCGTAACAATGTCTGGCCTTAGATCACTCGCTGCGGGGTAATAATATCTCGGAAAACGATAGATCAGAGTCTGAAGGAGAGCAAATAAATATATATCTCCGACTCTCGATATCTATCCACTGGAACGAAATCAATTTCCGTTATGAATTCCTAAGATCAATTTTGACGACTAGTCGGTTGACTAGGGGTTATAATTCGGCGATACTTCAAACTTTTACTTCAGTAGAAAACAAAGCTTTTCGAATTTAAATACTGTCTATAGTTTACGCGAGTAGTACACGTTTAAATAAAACACTTTAATGGTTTAAAACGCGATATATTGCCGCCGTGCCGAGCCGTGGTCATGGTGAGACCTCCCCGTGACCACGGCTGCTGCAAAGCATCCGAAACGTCGGGCTGAAGTTAAAAATCATTTCCAAATAAGTTTAACTAATATATCGCGTTTTAAACCGTTAAACTTTTCGAATTTGACGAGCTCTTAGTGACGGCAGCCGCGAAGCTTAATCGCGTTTCGGATTAAGTCTGTGGTTGTCCGAATATGCTAAAATACATCGACAGCACATCTTGTTTAGATGTTACGTGGCTAGGCTCACTTACTATCAATTGGGCCCTTGCTTGTCTATCCTTCTCTATCATAAAAAAATATCTTCAGCTTCTGTTCAAGCTGTTAGGATCACGTCTATAAAAAAGGCTTACTATTATAAATAAGGGCATTTAAGTAGATATATTTCTTCTTCATGTGTTTGTTTCATGCCTTATAGATCAAACATATTTCTGTGTCTACCAAAAAAGTAATTTTATCCGTTCTATCGTGGTCTTTAAAAATGTAAGCCTTAGCAAAGATGTTCTTATGACGTATGAAGCCAACACACACTTGACTATTTAAAGGCCGGAATAACATCTGAAAGGTCGATTATGTGCTAGCTACCTCAGGGTGTGCGTCGATTAATTCCTATTTAAAACCAAGGACATGAGGTGAGGGTCATGACCTTGGACCCCAATCGAAAAAGCTCCTGTAAATTTAGGTGGAATATAAATATAATCCGTGATAATCGTCGCATCGGACCGGGTCTAAAAGCGGTTAATTTAAAAAATAAATAAATACTTTTACATGACGTTTTTGAATGATTAAACGATATATATAATTGTTAAAATTATTTTAACTACGGCCCGATGTTTCGGATGCCTTGCAACAGCCGTGGTCACGGGGAGACATGCTGCGTCTATCCAACACAAATAGAATTTGTCAAATCGAACCAGTAGTTACTGAGATCCGCGCGTTCAAACAAACACACTCTTCAGCTTTTAGTATTTATAATTGCGGATGTGGTTTGCGATGTTGTAATCGCGAACTGCATGGAACTTAAATACCGTCATACACACAAAAATAATGCACTTTTAATGGTTTAAAACATGAAATGTATTAGTAACTTATATACAATTTATTTTAATTACGGCCAGATGTTGAATAGCACAGCCGTGACCTGTGTATGCGGAATTTGGCGTTTTAAACAGATAACAATGTTTTATTTAAACTGGTGTACGTTTTTGGGGATTTCATTTTGTTATAAGTGTATTTTTATTCATATTATTAAACTGGAGGCCAATACTTAAGGCATTTATATAAAAAAACGTTCTTAATATAAAATACTATTGATAGTCCGTAAGAATCTCTCATTTATTTTTATTTGGTGTACATAATATATTGTACTTACAAAATGAAAACGATGAACGGAGAATATAAAAGAAATAAACGTATCACAATAGGCTTAGAATCTGGGACGCCTGTGGCAAAGGCAAAGAATTATGATCAAAAGTAATCATATATAAAATATCCTTGCGTGGAAACTATATTAGTAAATTAAGAATTTCCTTAAGCAACAAATAACACATATCTACCATTGTATATATCGCTGAAGCGTAACATCCTCTTCTTAGACTTCGCCAACAGCAACAGGACTGAATGATCGCCATCTTTGTGATCCTGTAACAATAAATATGTAACTATTATTTTTCATATGTTATTTAACATTTGCATATAACTTTAAAATATATGTTAACGTAGATTGAATATTTATTAGCAATACTGAAAAAAACAGATAAATAGTTCAAAACGCAACATATATTACATCAGCCGCAACGTCAGGTAGAATATTTTTTAATTAAGTAATATATATCGCGTTTTAAACCGTCAAAATGTTTCATTCAAAGTTTTTGTACCAGCCGCAGCCTGTTTAAATAATAAAAGAAACAACTACGATCTAACTGTGGTGTAAAATAGATGTTGGATTTGGTAAATTATATTTTTTACGATAAGCATTTTTACCACTAACAATAAAGATATTTTCTGATGCGTTATACCATAGTTCTAAGGATTTAATCCAGGTAGAGAACTAACGATAGTGATAGTTTGAAAATATTAATATTTCTTCACATAGTGGCACTTTATAAAATAAAAATAACGTGACGTGCTAAGGTTAAAATTACATTGCGCAAGAGGTGCATGTATCAATAGGTTGTAAAAATTCGACGATGACGTGAAGGACTCGGTAGCTCAATTGGAAGAGCAACAGCACAGAACGCTGACGATGCCGGTTCAAGTTCTGTCCGAGTCGTAATTTTTTTCAATTTATTATCGATTAATTACTGTCTATAGTTTACGCGAGTAGTACACATTTAAATAAAACACTTTAACGGTTTAAAACGCGATATATTAGTTAATTTTATTTGAGACGGGCCGACGTTGAAAATTATTTTCAAATAAGTTTAACTAATATATCGCGTTTTAAGCCGTTAAAGTGTTTTATTGAAATAATTATCGATTTTTCATTTAGATAGTTCTAAATAAGCTAAAGCTGGAAAGAAAGCCGATTGTTTATAACCTAAATAAATAGTATATGCTAATAATATAGGCCTATACAGACCACACAGGCATTGTTCTGTACATTTTCGTTCATAGGTCGATTATATGTCCGCGTTGTATCCTGCGCTTAAAACTACTGCAGTGACACAGATAACAGCGCAGAAACCGCGACATCCCTAGATCCGATCTGCTTGAAGTTTTATTTAAATAAAACTTTTAGTACGGAAACGTGTCGAATCCCCACAAAGCTGCGCTATAAAATAAAACTGATATACGACAGAGGTTTCGACGAAATTTCTAGATAAATAAGTATTCTTTAAATTCAAATTAGTAGGATAATGATGAGAGTAAATATTGTAATAGGCAAGCAAGGGAATAGAGTCCTGTAACATCCGATTAGGATGCGTTATCGGCCTATTTTGGTTGTAGACAAAGATATATTTGTTGTGGTAGTTGATGTGTGATAGTTTATTTAATAAAAACCAATCACACATCATTACAAAATAAGAATTGCAACATGAGAGTGAGTTACAATGTTATTTTTAACATATCTTATCGATCATGTGAGATATCATACAGTATTGTGAAACAACCTGAAACTGAAACGAGAATTTATACTTTACCACTCTTTTTTGCAAACTATTATAAATGTGTAAGAGAGGGGTATTAGATAGAAATTTCCCCAGTTTAGTTACATTTAATTGATTCTCATAAGTAGTGTCAAACGAAATGTCAAACGCGGTCATAACTGAAACGGAGGTTGGGAATTATAGGACATTTCGATCAGTTGCAGGTACTAACGTATTTTTAAA